GACAACAATGTTTCGGTGTCTTCTTTTTTGTACGTTGGCATTTGCAGTCAACGTTAGACATGTTACAAGCTTTCAGTATCGTTGGTTTTACTTTATCCAGACTCAGCCTGTCCGGAACATTAAAACAAACACAGTTTTTGCTCTACATATTCGTTCGTGCACTTCAGAGGCAATTAACTGACTTGCTTTTCCCATTAGAACAGGATCAGTCTTCTTTAGTAGGTTATTGATGTAGTGAAGCGTAATCTGGTGATGTTTGAGGGGTTCGAAGAGCGCCAGTGTTTTTCTCATCTCATTAAGCTGTGATTCTAAAGAAAGTAATTTATCACTTAGTTCTGCGATGAGTATATTGTTAGCCGAGGAACAGCTTCGCTTTTCTTTTGGGGTCTCGCCTTTTGGGTCTTCACAAGTAGCCCTAGCTTTTGATAACGTGGCTTGGCCTCCTTCACTGTGGACTCCGTGTTCCTCTTCGATTGACTGTGATATAGGCAGGTTTGCTGGTGCATGAATCCCCACTTGGTTGCGAAGGTCTGGAACGCAGCGCTGATAAACTGGGGCCCACTGTCGGAGACCAGTTCCTCCGGTACACTGTGCCGCGCGAACTGACATCTGAGATAGTCACTTACTGCTTTCGTGGTCGTGGTGATGGCAGTGGTCGAGGACGCACTGTTGCATATTTCGATGTACTGCAGGAGCGCTAAGTTGCGTTGTTGCAAAAGTCGCTTTGTTGTATTTCATCAATGATTCCTAGAACAATAAGATCGCGCATGAGACCATGCGATTACACAAATTACAGTATCGAGCTAAAAATCTTCAACTAAATGACGTACGCGTTGACGGGTTCATTTGGGTCTCTGCTTCGCCTAAAGAAAAAATAGCGCCCGTAGGTCTCGTTGGTTTGGCCTTCGAAAAAAAACATTCTGAAATACATGGCTTCTGACGGTGCTGAGTTTTCTCACTGGCTACATATTCCTTGGTCCACCTTGGAAAAATTTATTTGGAAATCTTCCCGACAAGAACATGGTCACTATCGAGTTCTGATCCAGGAAATTGATAAATTTAATGCGGAATGTCCATGCATATGTGCAGCACCCGATAGTGGTTGGTAGGCTATTCCACACAACAGCGTATCTGACGAGGAAGAAGTTGGATCGAATAGCTGTCCTGGTTCAGTTGCTCCCCCCCCCTGCTTCCAGGCCTCACCCTAGTCAAGTGATGCAGGATAAGCCATGACCGGTTAGTTTAGAGACTCCATCGGAGGCTGAGGTCGGAAATGCGAGCACAGCCCTCAATCGTGTTCCAGCTGCCGGTCCGGATCCTCTCCCATCTGCACTATTTCAGGATGGGAGTGAGGTCCACTGCAAAGCAGTCACTTTCCTCTTCGAACAGGTCTGGAAGGAAGAAGCCATCGCAGCTAATTGGAGTGAATCGATTATAGTGCCCATTTACAAGAAGGGCAGTTACACAGTGTTAAGCACAGGAGCAGTAGCCTAATGCCAGTTGTGGCAAAATTACTGATCTCGATTCGCGTTCGGCGCCTCACTGCGGAACGGGAATTCCGGAATAGGTAAGAGCAGGCAGGTTCCTGCCTGTGACAGGGCTGTATAGACCACATACCCACTCTGGGCAGGTGCTAGAGCAGCGCCACATGTACCGCAGATTGACAACAGCTGTGTTCCTCGACTTTGAGAGTGCGTTTGATTCAGTCGATTAATGCATTCTGTTCAAAATACTTGCGCGGAAAGGTGTACCCACGAAATATGTGGACATTTTGCGTGCTCTATACTCAAACACTACAGGTCGCGTCAGGGTCTACGGTGACATGTCGGATAGCTTCCCAATAAAAAGTGGCATTCGTCAGGGTTGTCCAAATACCCTATTTTTGTTCAATTTATCGTGGACTCCATCATGGAGTGTTGCATTACATAGCCTCACGATCCTGACGTTGAGGTACTGCCTGGTGAAAGTTTAGTTGCTCCTGATTGTGCGGAAGACATCGTTTTGCTGTTTAACGATGTCGAAGTGGCGCAATTAACCTTGAATAATCTCTAGATTGGTCCTAGTATTTGATATGCGCTTCGCAAATTGATTGCAAAGTGTTGCTGCAGGACCACAAGCCGTTTGACGACCCGTTGACCCTTGATAAGGAGGGAGTGGAGTTAGTTGATGGATTCACTTACCTTGGCAGCTGCATCAGCAACGGATGGGTGCACCGTAAGTGGTCAGTTCAAGCATTGCAAAAGCCAGAACTGCCTTCTTGAATCTGCGACACGTTTGATGACAGAAAGAAGCTTCTCTCCATCTGAAAGGTTGTGTTTACAAGGTCATGGTGCGAGACGTCCTACTCTATGGAAGTGAGACTTGGGTGCTTCGGTCTGAGGCGCCTTCAAGTCTTTGATCACCGTTGTCTGCGGAGCATTGCTGGTGTCGGGTGGCACAGTAGCTGAGGTGTTTTTCATCTCTAACTAGTGTGTAATGATAATGATGGGTGTCCCCAACGTGTCCGCAACGATTATGTGTGCAGGCGAGTACTAGGTAGTGATAAGAAAGCTATTCCCTTAGAACAACAGATAGCACTGAATAAGCTGCGTTGGATTGGGCGCGTTCTACGTATGCTTGGTCAACGCTTACCAATGAGGGCTTTGTTTAACCTGCCAGAAGTAGAGTGGCGCAAGGCTCGAGGTGGGTAAAGATTAACGCGGCAGTGGGAAATGAAGTCACGTTCGGCCTAAATGGGTGCCGTCGGTTCGTCTCACCTTCCTGGCTAGAGTCCGCGTGACCTGCCTTGTGCTTGGCACGAGACCTTACAGGACATGGCTCGCAGTCGACACCAGTGGTGTGACTACTGTCGTCTCCTAGTCGGAGTGCCTGTATAAAGCGTGTTTGGTGCTGTTATCCGCGGGGTAAGGGTTGATTATGACGCGGAGTAGTGAAAGCCACAAGGAAGCTGTCTCGCCGATGTTGCCTTATCATTGACAATGGCCAGCTGTTTGTGACGATATATTGTTAACAAGATGTAAGACCCTTGATCCTGACTGTTCGCTTAGGGTATAAAGGTTTCCCCCGAAAAGTACCCCTTCTCTTACTCTTATTATTATTCGTTCCGTATGTCATTAGGATTGTATGGCAGCCAAACATCAGTTCAAATGGTTGATGGACTGCTGCTGGTGATGAAGTAGAGGTTCCTGAGTCGTTAGTTCGCACGAGCGGTTTCCTCATCAGCTGGACTCCTCAGGTAGAGGTAGTGGGGACGTAGTGCTTAACGGCTGGTGACTTGATCACTGGGCCACTGGGATACGCGGGCAATGCTTGACCCAACGGTTAGGGACACATTGTTAGAGTACACGCAGTGTCTGGATTGCGACACGCAAACACAGTTTGGACAGTGATTTAGTTCACCGACAATGTGTCTCACAATAAATGTCTTTCGAGACAGCTGATCAAGCAGGATTCAAGCCGCGTGCCTGAGAATGGATCAACTGATCACTTTCTCAATTAATATCTCCAACACTGGGTCTTTTTCGGACGCGTGAATAAGTAGAGCTAAAACAGTACGTGGGCTAGCTCCTTCCAGTGCACAAGTCCCTCGCCATCCACAAATGCTCACATTTATTTCTCAGGCAATCTGCATTCGGTTACCCAAACCTGTGAACAAGGAGAGCCTGTGTTTCAACTCGAAGTACCAATCTGCTTGGTGGACACAGAGCTCGGGTGGTGTGCAAGCGATCTTGAAGGTACGTCGCTTCACACAAACGAGGCGACTGTCTATGGTGAGAGTTCGTAGCAAAACATTACCAAAGAATAAACCGGCTCTGAAGCGCTGATTGCGGTTGACTGGAAAATCATCAACCTGAGTCTAGTGCAACAAGCCATAGTGTGGTGCATTCGGAGAGACGCTGCTGAGGGGCCATGGTTTAGTTATGGAGGCTGCGGCTGGAACACAGCAGGAAAAACCCCAGTGCCATTATCAACGTATAAAAAAGTGTCCCATGGGTTTTGATCGATGGAATATCAACTGGTGAAGACACGCAAGCGACAGCAGTCGACCCGATTTGGCCAAAAAGATCTGGCCATGCGTTGGTTATCCTGCGTTATGTGGTAGCAATTCTCTGATAGGTAGCACAACGCGGCGAGGGTCCCGTGAAAAACACTGAATCAAACAGTTGTGGATTCACATGTCCGACAGCATCGGTTTACGGATTTAGCAAACATTAGGTATTGTGACTACGGGTAGCTAAAAGACAATCGTCTGCAGAGGAATGATCGCACTCACCACATCATCTAATCGATACGGTACCATGTCGGAGTTGAATTTCACTTGATAAGGTAGAATTGTATGGGCATGATGTAACTGCTAGAGAGATGCTTACACCAACTAGTCCACATCAGCACCGTGATCATTGTTGCGGATACAGGAAACCGCCAACGGTTGCTATGGGGGTAAGGTGAAGGGCCCTTGTAGCAAGAAGAATACTGGTGCTACTACAGTGAAGGACTTGCACGTGTACACTCGAGCACACACACACACATAGTGCGCACACACAGCACCAATAGCGAGGGGTGGCGGACTCTGAGGTCACGGAAAGAGGAGAGAGACCATTGAACACGCGTAGAGCGTGGACGGACACAGCAAGGCTTGATGATCACGGACATGGTAACCTTAAGGACGATGTGGATCGCGTGATGTGCGAAACTGGCGCAGAAAGATGTGTAACGCGAAAACATACGTACAGACAGGGAGACAATCACGAAAGGCGGGTAATGCGCGCGTAATGAGCCAGAGAAAACGGCTGGAGAGTATCGCCAAAGTAACAAATGCGGCAGCATGACCTGAGATGACCTGGAGAGAAACGGCTAACGACGGTTTCAGTATAGCCGTTTCACAGTGTGATCGTTGAAAAAACAGGATTGCTGACGTGAGGAGAAGGGACTACCACCACACATTTCGCTGGAGAGAATAAGCACTTAACCAGGTAGCAACAGTAAACGTGTGAACTTACAGTATGAGAGGCGGGGGAGGATTTGGAGGTGGTTGTGGGGTTTGCACAGAATGGTTTTGTGGTGATGTTGCCGCTCGCTTGACCCAATCGACCCTGATACACAACACCATTGGGACCGACGGGATCCATGCGAGGCATAGGGACAGGAATGGGGGCGCAGGAGAGCAATGTGGGGTCCGTGTAGGGGGAGCTCGTATAAGTTGGTAGACCGAGTGAAGTAGATGGTCCTGCAGACGAGTTGGATGACCCCAGAGGCAGCGGCGGTGGGTGAGTTGTCGCTGGAGCAGGAGAAGGCACATAGGGCAAGTGCACACTGGTGGCGCTGCCCACTGAAGAAGGCGCGGTCAGCATATGCTGAGGTGAGCAACTGTTTGCTTGTGGGGAATTCTGTTTCCGGCGTCGAGGTTTCGCGCGTTGTTCCAATTTTTCAGGAGCTTAGGAAAAAACGAAATAATGACAAGAAAGGGATAAGGCAAGTTGCGGTGGGGCGGATGTAAGCTCACAAGACAATCCGACCGAAAAAGTGAGGCGCATAGTGGAAATTTGCCATTAGTGAAACATGAATAGTGCTAGGAGGGTGCGGTTTCTTGGGCGCGAATCAGCGGAGGAGGTAAATTGTGTTCACTCAACCAGTTGCCTCGAAAACACGAACGAGGTGAGCCCAAAATAAATTCGACTGATGCCTAACGCATCGGAAAGATATTGATCAACGGACCAGTGCTGATTTGAAATCATCACCCATGATCGAACCCGCACTCGGCTAGTGCAGTGTGAATACTTCACCTGCGTTTGGTGCACGTTCTGTTCTCAGAATAAACTCCGGTTTTTCGCCTACTCGCCTTGCTCGTACTTTATTGCTGGGGATTCGCCTACGCTCTACTCTAGCAGTGTCCGACATAACAAATAGATAATACAACAAGGAGTTTTGGGTGTGTATTGGGGCAACATATGACGATCACTGCAATCTTAGAGGATGACACTTGGGCCCTGATGCCTGAGGATGCGTGAACACATCTGAATACGGTTCGGTAACACATCTGCAGAGATACTGAGGTCAACCTGTGTGTTTCGTAATCGATAGTGAAGGGGTCATATGGATACATGCAGCCTGGCTATGGAGTAGCCAACACGGCCTCCCAGGAAAGATGGTGCACAGAGTTTACTCAGCGTAAAGATGGAGAGTTAGATAATGTCGAGAAACCCAGAACCGATCCGCTAAAGTACATGCCAATAAAACTAAGTGAGAGAAAATCGATACACAGCATGATCGAGGGGTTATCACCATAGCTCTAATTGATTTTCAAAAATAAGTTGGGACTGAGTCTAACGCGTTCGGCAATATATGACAAAGTGGAACTGAAACAAAACGAGAATTATCTAACCATGTATTCTGTATGAAAATAGGCAAGTTTAGAGAGATGCGTCGGTGATGCCATTTACGGAGGGCAGGCTGAATTATGATGAGAAAAGTCTGATTACGACCTGCCGTTCATGCATTGCAAAAGGTAAACGGATTCATCACGTAACTGCAAAACGCGTGGGTGTGTTCAGGAAATTTATCTTCGGCTATCATCGGCAATGGACGTCTTTGTAAGGGCCTCATCAGTATCAACCAGAAGCAAGGCGGGACATTGCGTAAGTGAAGCAAAACGCTGTTCAGCCCAAACAAATCTTCCCGCTCCTATCGTGGGAGCAGTAGGGGAAATGATACTTGGGATAAGACGTCCGGTTAACGGAGAAAGAAAGCGTCACCAGAGGGGAATAGCTCCGACTCCGAAATAGAGAGCTTCAACGTTGTTCGTTCGCAACACATAGACCTAAAGCTAAGGTGAGTTTCGTTTTGATTGTGGTGATGACGTCCGGGTGGGGGGCGGGTTGTGTACTCAGATATGCTATTGGAGTAAAGCATTGACATCCGCACGCAGGTTCAAATACAATTCGGAGGGATAGGGTACGCAAAGAGGACGTGAACGATCACCACCCAAGGGTTTTCGGGGCAGTGTGTCATCCCAGGAAGGCACAATACGATAATCTCGTGTGTACTGAGCACAGACATCATCGCAAGGAGTACACGCCACTCGGTATGAGACCAAAATGAAACTAATGCGCCAGTGGAAATTGAAGACAGTGGCTGCGTAAAAGTCATTGTTGTAGTGACGGAGAAGTACTAAAGCTAAGAACATCGCAAGAAACGTAGGTAACGGACGTCGTGGACTTTACGGAGATCGATAAGTACACAGTGTACTCTGGTATAGAGCAACTCCTGACCTTTGCTGGCTGGTAACTTCGAAGATCTGCGTCTAGGAAGTCGCTGTCAGCCAATGCGGCTGGTGACCAGTGTTCAGACAAAGCACCAATGAACTTCGATCGGGTATAAATGCGTGCAATAAGTGACAGTGCAGGTTGGTGCGAGGAAGCAAGGAATATTTCCCATGATGTGCGGTGGACTTAGTGTGGCCAAGTGGGCACATGATAAGGATCGATTTCGAACGTAGCCGACCGAAAGGTGTGCGCATGCGAAAGTGAGAGATGGGAAGAGGGCAAATGCGGGAAGAACGTGAGAACAGACTGTGGTAGTGTGGAACGCTTGACCCAAGCCATAAATGTTAAAGATAGATAAGATGATTTATGGCGTTGCCCACAGGGAGGTCAAAAAGAGAATGACGGGTAAACAAATATGTATAGACCAGTTGAACGCATTGAAAAAGAGATCCACATAGTCCATCTAATTAGCAGAGTAGCGAACTGTATTGTTCAGTTGCCATGAGTCAATGAGGATGATAGAGAATGACGGTTAGGAAAGATGAAGAGGGGGGAGTGGAAAAAGAGAAAGGAATAGTAGATTATAAACATCTGATAGAAAGATGAATAGCCAAGTGATAGAAATAGAACGCAGGAGCTACGTTGAATTCTCCACGATGATGTGCCGACGGAGTCTCAAATTTCTGGTATGGACAATACCAGCAGCACAGGGGAGATACCAAGTGGAAATCCAATCCAGTCAACATTCTACCAGGTTAGTTTGCAATATCATAGATTCGCTACTATAGGGCTTTATGCAAGCAGATACAGTAACCACGAACAGTGTATGCGGAAGCAAGACGTTGCTAAACATTTGAAGAACATGACCTAGCCAACATAAGCAGTTCAAGCTCAAAGGATGTGATTCCGGGAAGGCAGTTTATCACGAAACATCCGCATTCATTATGGGCGCTGTTCCCATTGGATATGAGGAAAACGTTGCAGATGAGCTGGCTGAAAGCGATAAGCCTCTGAATTGTGCTACAGCGAAGAAGCCATGCTTCCAATTTACACAGCGGTACTGGACGTACTCTAAAGCGCGGTACACCCTTCCGTTAAACTGTAAATTGATAGCGAGCAGTTACACTAGACTAAACACACAGAAGGGCCATAAGACCTATTGGCCCATACAGTGGACACAACGGCGTTTCAGTCTGTCTATTAGTTCTCTTTCATCGTGGTTTGCTATTGAGCACCCTTTGGTAATTGACGTATCAACGTCTTTCCAGATCAACAGCACCCCGGCTTCCTAGTCATTTATTCTCCATTATGGGACCGCCACAAAAAGTGTACGGCACGAGTGTGGTGGAAATGCTACAGAACTATCTGGTTGTTCAGAAAGTAATTTCGCTTTTTCCCCAACATAAGATTCGATTGTATTTTTTCACAGCCAATTTCACACTTAAGCCGCATTTTTACATATTTTGACACCTGATACAGAAAAGCTTGCTTGTGAAAAAGTTAGATTGATTCCACGGTATTTTTGTTTGGCTCACTTTCAAAGATGGAGAGTGGAAAGAATCATCTTTGGCATATTTGCTTTTTTACTATCGAAAAGGTAAAAATGCTGCTCGAGCAAGTAAAATACTATCCGATGTATATGGAGAAGTATTGACAGAACGCCAGTGTCAAAACTGGTTTGCAAAATTTCGATTTGGCAGCAAATAGTTAAATAACTGCAGTATTTTTGTTCGTCGCAATCAGCCGACAATTCAGATATGTCGACCAGCTGTCCGGAAAAGCACCAGACGGCCGTTTCGCCCTATTGGGGCTCATCAGTGGTGCGCATCCTTCGGTCCTCTGCGGAGGATCGAACCCATGACTGCTAGTGGCTCTTGTCGGCTGAATGCGACGAACAAAAATACTCACCAAAATCCTTCCATTCATAAGTAATACCAATTTGCCCGTACGGATTCCACAAAATGCTATGTCGATTCATAGCTGCCGTAACCGGGAAGTCCTGACGCCGGAAGGCCGACCGCTGTCATCTGCATGGCAGGTGCCTGCATGGCAGTGGAGGATGCGTCGGGCTATATCGCATTTAGCTAACAATTCACGATAGTCAGATACCGTCCTCCATGGCGCAGTTGCATAAGCTGCGGGCTAGTTGGCAAGAGCCACTAGCAGTCATGGGTTCGATCCTCCGCAGAGGACCGAAGGATGCGCACCACTGATGAGCCCCAATAGGGCGAAACGGCCGTCTGGTGCTTTTCCGGACAGCTGGTCGATATATCTGAATTGTCGGCTGATTGCGACGAACAAAAGTACTCACCAAAATCCTTCCATTCATAAATAACTGCAGTAATTAAATATCTAAGTAAGTACCGAATTATCTGATTAATTTGCCTTAATTCAAGCAAACCCGAGAAAAATAGCTCGTGAGATCGCTGAGAGATTAAGTGTATCAAACTCGACCATTCGTGACTATTTGGAACGCCTGGATTTCATCTCAAAGCTCGATATATCAGTTTCTCATGTTCTTACGGAAAGAAATTTGTGCCCTCGCGTTGACGTCCGTGATTTACTTCACAAATGTTAAAAAATGATTCATTTTGAAGCGCATCATTACTGGCGAAGAAAAATGGATTGTTTACGGAAATGTTAAACGCAAGAGATCATGGAGTAAAAAAGATGAACCGGTTCAAAGCATTTCGAAAGCCGATATTCATCAAAAAGTGGTGGTGCTATCTGTTTGGTAGAGTTTCAAAGGAATCGTCTTTTTGAGCTTCTACCGGAAAACACAACGATGAATAGTGGAGGGTACTTTTATCAGCTGGACAAGTTGAATGATACATTCAAACAGAGAAAGCCAGAACTAATCAATAGAAGAGGTGTAGTGTTCCACTAAGATAGTGCGGGACCTCACACAAGTTTGGTAACTCGCCAAAAGCTTTTACAGCTTGGACCGGGCACACTGTCACACCCACCATATTATCCAGATCTGGTACCTGAGTACCATTTGTTCCCGTCTCTAAAAACGTTTTTAGACTGTAAAACCTTTACTTTAAATGAGGGCAAAAATCACCTGGAGCAGCTTTTGCTAGCAAAGAACAAGCCTATTATGAGTGTGTACTCAAGCTACTGCCAGAAAGATGGCAAAAGGTATTGGACCAGAATGGAGAATAGATAATTT